CTATCTTTATATTGTTTTCTTTTTCTTTCTTTTCTCTCCATTCTTTCTTTTTCTTTTTCATTCTTTCTTCATTTTGCCATTTTCTTTCTTTCTTTCTTTCTTTCTTTCTTTCTTTCTTTCTTTCTTTCTTTCTTTTACTTATATTTTTCTTCTTTGTACCCCTCATTTCACATTTTCCCTCAACATCCGCCCGAGTTTCCACAATATTTGATTCCCTCCTTATCAATCTTTATTTACTTATCACCTTATCCCTGAGTTCACCATCTCCTCCCATCCATCAATTACCAGGAGACAATTTACGCCGCGCCATTAGCCGCCGGCTTTCTCCAGCACAGGAAGCTTACAATTTGCAAACAAGACACCGGTTTGTAGAAGTACGAATAGTTGCAATATTGTTGCAAGTGAATGTCGAAGCAGCAAACTGGGGAGAAAAGACCAGAAAGCGGCACCAGAACATTAGCAGAGCAAATGAAGTCAGATCATTTGGCTTTGGTTAAAAAAAAAAAAAACCTCAAAGGAAAAAATCGATCGCTTTTATATGAATTTTTTTAAACGTTTGGATCGATCTATGTAACAGTGACAACAGCATCCTTCATAGTACCCCAAAAATAGTTCGTAGTACCCCACAAATAGTCTACAATTCCTAACAAGGTTCTGGTATTTTTGCATGAGTTTTTATTATTTTAATTTTCTACTAATTTTAATTCAAGTCTTCTTCTTCTTCTTCTTCTTCTTCTTCTTATTATTATTATTATTATTATTATTATTATTCCTTTGATTTTTGGTTTGTACTCACTTCTTTCCGGGTCTTAAGGTCAGAAATGGCATCATGCCATTTTCCACTAAGCAGTGTAAAAAAAACAAAAAAAAAAAACATATTTTACTTAGATAAAATCCTTAGTAAGGTGTGAGCTGTACTCGTGAGAACATTTTTTTGTATTTCTTTCAGGTATGGACTTCCAGGAATCTGTTCAGTGAGTTTATTGGAATTTTTTTCCAACCAATCAGAGGGCTCCAACTACAACAGGAATTGTTGATGTTCTCATGTACCACATTTTTTATGGGTCTTTGAGAAAGTATGATATTTACCTCGACTCCCAACTGAGACGTGATGTGATACAAGGTTGCATTTACTGTGGGGAAACCGAGCGTGTATTGCCAGGCCAGGGCCCAAAATTGCCGAGCTCCCGTAACCATAAGTTGCGCTGGAATTGGTATGACTACCGATACCCCCTCTTTAGTCCAATGAGCGAGGTACAGCCACGGGTAGCACTTCCCCGGAACCTCTATGAGAAACTATTTTTTATTTGTAGACTTTAACCGCCATATTTGCTTTTATATGGCTGTTAGTAAGAATGGTAAAATCCCAAAGATTAGTGACCTCATCACTTTCTATGACTGGTTCAGGTTATTATTATTATTATTATTATTGGTTTTGTTGTCGTTATTATTATTTCTGCTTTTTGATTGGCTGTTTGAAATAATCATTTAGCAAGTATTTTCACCTGCCATCAAAGATAAATAAAGGTATTTCTTACGACGTTATTGAAAGAATTTATTTTCTAAATTCATGAGCAACACTCATTAAAGCAATCTTTTCTAATTCCGACAAACGTAGAACTCCTGAACGTTTCTTAATGCCTATATCAAAATTCTTCTTAATTCTTTTAAATTTTCTCGCAACACTTGGATTATTGCTTCGTATTTCCATTTCTATTTTAAGATTCTTGTATTCGGATACTTTATCAAAACCTTTCACTGAAATGTCTTTATCGAAATTTATGGTTGCGTCAATAAGGATATATTTTATGTTTCGACTTTTATAAAAATATCTGGTTTATTAGTTGTTGTGTATTCTAAATTTCCCGTAATAAAAAAAAACAAACAAACATCGTCTTCTCGAACTGGTTGTGGTTTTTGCTCATATAATTTTTCTGAATAATAATAATAATAATAATAATAATAATAATTATTATTATTATTATTATTATTATTATTATTATTATTATTATTATTGCCTTAAGTATCTGAAGCATACAATTTCCTACCGGGTTCCAACCAGAGACCTAAGGTCAGAAATGTTTTCATACATTTTCCGCTGATCATTTTTATAAAAAAAACACACCAAAAATCCCTAAGATCATGCACATTTTATATAGATATAGCTCTTGGTAATGTGTGAAGTGTACTTGTGAGTACAATTTTTTTGTATTTCTTTAAGGCATGGTCAACCAGGAATCCCTTTAGTGAATCTATCGTCACCTTTTCCAATCGATCCGAGGGCTCCAACTACAACTGGAATTATTGATGTCCTTATGTGCCACATTTCCGAGATTTCTATTCCATTTTGATAGTTTTTTGCATTTTGATAGTTTTTGAAGATCTTCGAAAATACATTAAAATCTGCAAGGACTGCCATGTCAATAAGACATTACATTCTGTTGCTGTGGTTTTTGATCACGATTTCTGGGTGATTAGCTTTGATTCTTCTGTGTGTATTGTAAAGTACCATAAATGTCTTAGCTCTGTAACCCGGTCTTAGGGATGTTCATACTAGTTTCATTTAGTTTCCTTTCCGTAAAAATTGCATATTTTCCAATGCACATATTGGCCCACTCTATCATACCGAGTTTTATATTTAGTGGGTGCTAACACTGTGCAACCTTATACAAGATAGTAAATTGTTTCTGGATATTTATCATAGAATTGGCATTTGGGGTCAACACAATTTTTCAGTATGTGTGCTTGGTAATTTCTAGTTTGCAAACCTCGGTCATGTGCAACAAGAATAAAAATTGTGGTTTCAGCTTTTAATCCTTCACTACGCAACCATTGATGGGTCCGGGGTTTGTCTATATTGTTTGGTACTGGCAGAGCATTGACCATGAAGAGGCTTATCCTTTCTGCATTTCTTACATTGCATTTGATTTAGCTTTCTTTCTTTCTTTATTATTATTATTATTATTATTATTTCCTTAGATTTCTGTTTTTTACTCATTTCTTTCCGGGTCCCGACAGAAACCTAAGATCAGGAATGGTACCATGACATTTTCCACTGAGCAATTTAAAAAAAAATCATACATATTTTACATAGTTAAAGTGTGGGCTGTACTTGTGAGTACAATTTTTTGTATTTCTTTGAGACATGGCCTACCAATGAATCTTTTGGAATCTTTTCCAAACAACCCAAGGGCTCCAACTACAACTGGAATTGTTGATGTTCTCATGTGCCACATTTTTGAGATTTCCATTTCAAGGTTCTTCTATTTTGATAGCTTTTTGAAGATATACAAAGATACAATGCAGTCTGCAGGGACTGCCATATCAATAAGGGGGTACTTTTTTTGTTTGCAGTCTCTGATAACAATGTCTGGGTGGTTAGCTTTGATTGTTCTGCCTGTGTGTATTGTAAAGTCCTATAAAATTGTTAAAAGTCCTATCTCTGTAACCGGGTCTGGGTGGTGTTCATACCAATTTCTTCTTCTTCTTCTTCTTCTTCTTCTTCTTCTTATTATTATTATTATTATTATTATTATTATTATTATTATTATTCACACCGGTCCTGCCGCTAGTGATCAAATGAAAGTCATCCATTTTAGATCTATAAGAATACTTTTCATTTCGTTCTTTTCTTAAGGGATTTGTTCGGAATAGCATCATTTGTTTTTTTTTAAAGGATGTGATTCCTGCTCTTCCAATCGGTTTGCAAGAGTTTTGGTAACCGTTCAAAGTGCATCACTGAGGATTGGTAAGAATCTGTTGCTTCCTTTAATCAACTATTATTATTATCAGTAGTAGTAGTAGTAGTAGTAGTAGTAGTAGTAGGTCGAAATTTTATGGTTGTTATAATCAGTTGATTTTTTCCAAACAACCATTGCCAAGATTTCTAAAATTATAAAATTATTTTATCAGTTATATCACACGTGAAATTAAATGTAATTAAAAAAAAAAAACGTTTTCTTAAAGTTTATATTTGGCTCGGAAAACTACGAAGAAAATCCAGTAATCCGTTATTGATGGGATGCCATCGCTGCGTCGGCGGAATTATAGTAGCCACTTCAGTGATTATATTAGTATTGCTGGTATGCAACTGAACCAAAAGTAGCTTACGAAGCAGCCAGTTTTTGTATGTGAAGAAGCAGTAGTATGTTGGACAACAAAGAAAACAGAAGCATAAGATACAATAGGATGTTTGTCATCTGTAACAGGAGGTGACGACACAGAGAGTATTGTCGCTGTGGTAATGGAAAATTGTGTTTGTGAAAGAAATGATGCTGGTTGGGTAGGAGGAAAGATTTGCGATGGTGAGTAGTAGTAGTAGTATTAGGTGCGTCTGTGGAAGAGGAGAATCTTTCAGTTATTCTGTGTTGACGGAAGTGAAATGGTTGAATGAATGGAATTGGTCTTGATTGGAATTAGGGGTGCATCAAGATTCTTATAATGGTGGTGATGGAGTTGGAACTGGGAAAATATAAAAAATGCTAAGATCGTCAGAATAACATGATAGGGTGGACAGAGACAGGGTTAGTGGAGGTGAGGTGACTATTAGAGGTTGGTGGTGGCGGAATTCTAGTCTAAGTTGTCATGGTATTGGAATGGTGACAGTTTGGATGAGGTAAAGAAAACACAGAGGAGGCAGTTGATTCGGATTTTTCATTCGGAAAACAATCAAGTGGATAGATGATCAGATGAAACTATGGCAGCTGAAAAGAGGGCAGTTGGCACAGATTCTTCCTTGGAAGAATAATATAAGTGGGTCAGTTGAAGAGAAAACTTGAAGAGGAGTGCATTGTTGATACTGATTAGTACTGATTGGTTATTTGTATTTACTGGTATGGAACGAGCTTTTTGAAAATAGCATGACATTTTAATGAATGAATAAAGTGTAATTTAATTCTTTCGAAAAAGGCAACGATAACATGAACTACATTCTAATGAGAGTTTTGAGATTAACTTTCAAGGAATTATCCACATGTACACAAATCCTAGGTAGAGCCGGCTTACGGCCATATCACGTTGAAAAACCAGTTCTTGTACGATCACTGGAATTAAGCAACGTCGAGCCTGGTCAGTACCTAGATGAGTGACCGCTTGCGAATATCAGTTGCTGTAAGTTTAGATGTGCGGGTGGTGTAATGGATAAAGGCTTTAAATTAGAAATAGCTGATCCGAGTCCCATTTCCAGTCGGGTTCGTTACATTTACTTACGGACAGATACCCCTGGGAAAGATATGAATCCACCTCGTCTTCTCCCCGTCTATGGGTTAATTAGTAGGGTTTGTATCAGTAAATCATTATTATCTTCAAAAAAACTTTTACAATCTAAAAATATTTTCTGGCTTTAAATAAACCTGTAAAGGTTGATAGGCCGTAAAAACTAATCAATCACCTAGGTAGAGCACAAATAGATTTTGATCCTAAGCAGTAATGTCAATCTACACGTAAATGATCCAATCATTTCTACGTATATTATGCTAATAACATATTTATAAGAATATTATACTGAATTCATCTTTCATAGCACGACAACACTTAGGTATTCGTGCAAAAATAATTTTAATATTGTTTTCATTTCAATGATTAAAATGCTAAAAAAAACTTTTTCATTTGATAGCTCCTCTCTATGTTTTCAATGATATGGTTGACTTTGATGCTTACTGGCCAAGGTTACTAGATACTATGCTGCTTAGAAGTAATTATAGATCTCGTCTTGTAATTTGCAGGCGCTTCTGTTTAGTAAGAAGCTGTGTAACTGCGTTGAAACCACATTCAGCCATATAGAAAGTTAGAAAAACAAGGAAGTTTGACAACTTCCCACAGCCTTAGATACCAATATTAAATAACCTTTGAAAATTTGAAAAAAAATTGGTTAAATGGTACCTTGATGTTATCGGAATGAACTGAGGTCGATGACAGCGTGTGGCACCTTTGGAAAGTTCCTGAAAACCATACCACGGATTTAACCCAAGCCTTGTGAGTAAAATTTGGTAGACGGAACTCTCGAGGGCCGTCGATAGCTGTGCTAGCACGAAGCCGCAAGTCATCGAGGGCGTGAGCGTGCTAGCCTTGTTCCAATTGTTTATCACGTTAGATAAGACGATCTCTCCCAGAAGCTGTAACTATGGTCTGCTCAGCATAGTTGCAGTATAAACCACAGGTGGGCTTTCTTTGGGTGTTGATCAAACACAAATGTGCCTGAGCGATCGCCTGCAATAGGGATTGGCTAGCCGCCATAGTAGACGGGTATCTTCGAATACGAGTGGCCAGCTATTATTAGTGCCTGTGACTTAACTTTCAGCGCCGCTCCTCATATTATTTTAATTTAACAGAAACACCGAAAACATACCCGTGGTAATTTAATATCATCATTTAGACGATATTTATCAATTAACATTGATTATTTAGGATATAGCTAAGATACTAGGGATGAAAGGTCAGTAGAACGGATCCAGATCCAGTTCCAGAGCCTCCTCACTACTTGGATGCATCCCACCCTGATTGACTATGTCTTCAGGAGTGTAGCCGTACTCATCACGTTTATCCAAGGCTTTTTACCAATAGCCGAGAAAGAAGAGATTACGACATGCCTTTCCCGAGGGTATTTGCACGTCACTGAATGTAAAAAAACCGATTGGAATTCGAACATGGCTCTCAGATTCTTCAATCCATTGTGTCCCCGTGATATAACTACCAGCGGTGTTTAATTAAAATTCTCATTCGATATTTTTCCATCAGGATAACGAAACACTAATTTTCTTTGATGATCTAATATTCAAAGATTGTTATGTTTTTCCTCGGAGTTTTCATTGATGTTTATTTATTTATTTATTTTTTTTTTGGTTTTTATCAAATGTGGTATTTAGAGATTTATTCTGATTTTACGTAATTACTTTCAGGAAAACTGCAAAATGCTGCTAAACCTGTTTGGTGAGAAAGATAAATGATTCGGAGGAAAGCTGGAATTATAAAAGTTATACCAAAGATGGCAGAAGATAGCGGAACAAGTGGAACGGATTCAGCTACTTAATAATAATAATAACGAATAATAATAACGAATAATAATAACGAATAATATAGCATAAAAAACAAGTTGAAATTAACTATCAAAAAGAAAAAAAAGGATGGTGAAATTCCTCTTAAGCGGCCAGATTTTCAATCAACCATAATGAAAGATAAATTTCAAAGATTAAACAATAAAACAGAATTAGCAATGTAAGACGGTTTGAAATTAGATTTTATCTGTCATCTTGCAAACACACAGACACACAGACACACACACACACACACACAAACGAGAGACAGTAGACCAAATGAAGTCTAGTAAAACTTCAAAGAGCTAAAGAAAATACTTCTGTTTGTAAAGAGGTGGTTGAAGCTTAGAAATAAAAAAGAAAGATTCCTAAATTCTTAAATAAAAAAGAAACAAAAACGAAAGTGTCATAGTTAAAATCTGTCGAATAAGAAAACGTTAACACAAACAGGATTATCAATAAGGTGTTGATCAATCGCTGAGTCCAAAATACTCTTAAATTCACCGTCCATTTCTGGGTCATGTTGCTTGATCCATCATTCCAGTCTTTGTGAGGTGCGTCCAATGTAACCAGATTCGTAATGGAATGGAATAAATACACGATGTAACTTTTCGGTTATACGACTTACTGCATTTCTGAGTAATTCTGAAGCTAGCAATGTCCGACCAAGGTGATTTGCGACAAACAGGGCATTTAGGAGTCTTGATATTTCTTTCTGATATTTTTCCCACCGTATCTGTGTTGAATGAAAATGTAGTCTATCTATAGCAATAGCGTTTTAGTACTTTTCAAAGTACTCCTCCAAGTACCGTACCCCAGCACCCTTTCCGTTTCTTAACAATATGCAAAGTCCTCTTGTTGCATTCTCTTTAATCTTGATCTGACCTGAAATCTTGCTTTTAATATCAATTAGTTTTGGGCAAATTCAGAAGTTGCATGTAGCCAAATCTGTTTAGGACGAATGCTGGTCGATGCTATTTTATAACAAAAATGCCTGAAACATAAAGAATGGACAGTTGAGATATTAAAAAAGGGATGACTATTTTTCGGACTGTCCATGGAATCCCCAGATTTTCTTTTAATTTTTGTATTGTCAATTATTGAATTATGTTTGAAGCATCGGATCCATTACAGAGATCGCTCTTAGTCATTCGAATAATTTCCGTTGATTTATTTACAAGATCATTGTGGCTCCGACAGTCAGACAGTGAACACACAGAGACAGTTGCCCGTGGTGAGAACTCGACCACCTGGTCGGCCGATCGACAAGCTCACTCAATAGCATCTCAGGGCCAATCGACTACTCTTGTATGCGGCGTCAGGTCCCTTCTGATTAGTTACCGAATTAGATCAACGCTGCGAAACTGCTTCTCGAGATAATCTAGATAGCTCTCTATTTTCCGGACAGATTTCGTCTATCAGTGATTTCCAAACGTGAGGCTTTGACACGCATGTGAGTTATTTCAAATTGAAAAGGAAGAATTTTAGCCAGAGAACTATTGGGTAGGCATCGCTGTCATGTTTATGTTATGAATTATGATAGAGAATAAAAAGAATCAAATTGAAGTAGGAATTAAAGAAACCTAGAAAAGGAATGGACTTGGAATTCTTATAATAATTGATGTGTATGTGAAGACTTCTATGAATACATATTATATCTGATTTGGGCCGGTAGAGAATTAGAATGTATCAAAAGTATTTTCGCTGTTTAACCTCTCGAGATCACCTGCATGTTTTTATGCATTGCTCTACACCTGATGACTCTCGATGTTTCTAAATCTTCAGGAAATATTTTATTTTAAAGCATTCTAATTGACAGACGATTGTTATCCCCTTCTGGGCTTTAGTCACAGACCGTTTTCAGCAGCACGATTGTTCCAGTTCCTTCTACTTCCCGGCATGCAACATCACTAACTACGAGGTCGAGTTTAAAATAGCTGCCAAATCTGTTATCTACAATTATAACATCTGACATTAAAGGGACAGCTGATATCATCTATATCTATAAAACAGAAGATGTCTGTCTGTGTGTCTGTGTCTCTCTCTCTCTCTCTCTCTCTCTCTCTCTCTCTGCGTGTCTGTCTATGCTATTTATGCACGTCCACATTTCTCGACTGATTTCGATGAAATATCACATACATGTAAATTTACCAAAATAGGTCAAGACCAACTTTTCAATCACTAGCCAACGTACCTCCCGGGTTTGGCATACAAATCGATCAAACTGAAGGTCGATACGACGTTTTTCAAAAACCAAGGCAAAATTACACGCGAACAAAATTTTTACTGGATGAGCTGATATATTTTGCACTTAATGCAAAACCTCAGCTCATATTACAAGGTTTATGTAGAGTGCTTGATAGTTTTTCTGTGACAATGGCTTCACACAAAAAATGGAAAAAAAATCAGTGAAAAAAAACAGATTTTTCCTCCTACTTAGAATAAAAACTAGAATAACTTCCTCATTTTTTATTCGGTTTTCAAAAATGTCGCAAAAAATTGCCAGCATGCAAGAAATAAGATAGTGTGGTTTTATTCCTGCTCGCTTCCCTGCATATAACGAAAAACCACGAAAAGCCCCCTTTTCGGCCATAACTACCTGGTTTTTCATCCGATGCTTTCCAAATGTGCCATGTAAATTACATATGACACACAAATGTGAATGTTTGGTTTAGATTCAGTTAAGTGGACAACATCTGCGACAAACTAGGTCCAAAATTGGCTTTTGGTATTTAGCCAATAGTTTCTTCATATGATTCCATCCTAAATTGGCATTCGAACAACCTTTGATTCAAAGATTGTTTGAGAAGGATTATTGAAGCGTTAAAAGGGAAAAATTCCTGAAGAAACTCTTATTAATCCCAACTTTACAGTAAACGCGCGAAGAAGCTCTGATGCTTCATCCCTGTTTTTGTTTGATCATTAGATTTGGGAACTATGCCATACTATTTGAAAGTTAATACGGCCATAGGAAATTTACTGAATATCTAAAACTGTGAAACAATTTAACCTCGAGCAACGGCCACACAAAAGATTTTACCGATGGAATTCATTTATTAAGAACAAATACTTGCAAAGGACA